TTTTTATACAATTGAATACTACATTGTGCCAATGAGAAGTCTTTAATTTAAAAAAGAGTGAAATCTGCAAGGAATAAAGTAAACAGGAAACAAAAACAATGAATACTCTAACTTGTGAAGCACATACTCTAACTAAAAAGTGTACATACTCTAACATGTGAAGCACATACTCTAACTAAATAGTGTACGTACTCTAACATGTGAAGCACATACTCTAACTAAATAGTGTACATACTCTAACTTGTGAATCACATACTCTAACTTGTGAAGCATATACTCTAACATTTGAAGCACATACTCTAACTAAATAGTGTACGTACTCTAACATGTGAAGCACATACTCTAACTAAATAGTGTACATACTATAACATGTGAATCACATACTCTAACTTGTGAAGCATATACTCTAACATTTGAAGCACATACTCTAACTAAATAGTGTACATACTATAACATGTGAAGCACATACTCTAGCTTGTGAAGCAGATACTCTAACTAAATAGTGTACATACTATAACATGTGAAGCACATATTCTAACATGTGAAGCACTTACTCTAACTAAATATTGTACATACTATAACTTGTGAAGTACTGCAACTAAGAAAGTACATAACTCCAACCTATTATGAAGCAAATATTCCAACTTACACACTCAAACTTGCACATAATTTGTATTCTATAAACAATTTAGCTTGTTTATTTCATTCCTTGCTAATTTTACTTTCATTTCATTTTGGATATCAAAACATGCCTTTGTGAGTTGTCACACATTTAATAACCCTGTAGTTCATATAGAAAGATAACGAAGAAATTTCTAAACACTTTAAACCTTTGTAAAATTGATGATTGCCAATGGCCATTCTGATACTCATAGCATCTTTCTGTTTCACCTGAAACATGCTCTGATATTATGAGGCATATTCTGTGATCCGAGCACATCAGATGAGAAGAGTCATAACTGTCAATAAGTGTGATAGTTATCATATAATCATTTACCTTAATGTTAATACATTACATAATTATGCATTGTATTTAACAGCAGATAGTACAACAGGCAAAGTCACACAAGTTTAATGACCCCAATTAGATGAAATATGAGCTGGGATGAAAGATCTTAAAAATCCTCAATTTTGGGCTCTCCTGGATCGCCAAATCAAGCTCATTATATCATGGCATCTCAGGGCTGAGAAGAAATGAGATGACATGGTTTATCATGATGGCCAATGGCCTAAACAGACTTTATTTTACACACGAGGATTACTTTATTTACAGCTGTTTCTATGGAAACTGAGAGTTCAAAAATGTTGATCATAATTTTCTTTTTCTGTATTTGAGAAAAAGTTTGAAATCACCTCAAGAACCATGATCAGTGAATTCTTCAGTTAACGAGATGGATAAACGCCAAAAAAATATTGTGAAAGTATTTCCGTTACCATTGGAATGTACAACATGAGGTATTTGAATCTTGGTCTCAAAATCTAAGATGAAATTATGGTTCACTGTAGATAGTAAAAAACTGCCAGTGAAGCTAACACACTTGGTGTAGAACCAAGGGTCGTTTTTGAATTCATATTTGTGAAGTTTAAAACAAAGAGTTTTTAGATCTTCTTTAGTTCTAAAAATATTGGAAATTCAAAAATGACCATTGGCTCCACACAAAGTACTCATTTATCCGCACCGACTATTTTTTGCAGGCTCGGTTTGATCATGATTAACAAAAAGCCAATCAAAGCACTATGGGATTAGAATTTTTCATGAGTTCCCATTGCCAGAGGGGATCTGTGCCAGGGGTCTGTTTTTTGGCACTTTCAAGACCGACGATTTCTTATTCATTCCTTATTCAAAATTCATGTTTACAATTTGATATGTAGGATAATATCAAAACAGACCATGTTGAAATAAAGCAGTAAAATATTGATATCTGATTGGCTGGAAAAATGCTATATCTGAATATATTCAATATGCTACTAAATATAATCTAAAGCTGATCAACAGCCAAATATACAATGATTAACAAATAGAATTTGAAATTATAGACTATAAGGCATTTTAGTAATTAACAAGAGCATACAGAAGGCCTTTATAAAACGATAATCTGATTTAAGCATAGGTTTTTTGCACCACAATGTACTGGACATGCATACATTTTGATTTTGTCCATATAGGACCCAGAAATAACGTGCATTATGGTTTTATTTCAAATGTTTCGCTAATCACACAGATATGTCATAAGATCTTTTTTAGCAGAAATACACAAAAGATGTTTTTTTCATCGAGCCAAATACTTCAATAAATGACAAAAAGATGATTTATACATTCAGACCTTTAAATCATTAATATAGTTTACATAACAAATAGCACTTAAGGCAAATTCCAGAACACAAACAAAATCTTCATTTTTACTTCATCTTAAGAAGTAATAATAAAAATATACATAGTCTACAAACCAGGTATTCAATATACATTTAATGCAATGTATTTATATATTTGATGCATTGTATTTATACATTCAATATATTGTATTTATACATTTAATGTTTTGTATTTATACATCTAATGTATTGTATTTATACATTTATTGTATTGTATTTACATATAATGTGAATAGGGATGTTTAAAATTGCAGAACACAGTGAAATGAGATAAATAAACTAATTGAGTAAATAAGTATAAAACAGGCATATAGTTGACATTCTTAATTTCATGGAAGAGCCAAGAAAAAGTTGGTTGCAGAATTTATTGGACTTGTGTCAGTGATAAAGTGAATTTGTCAAACCCTGGTTGACACTAGATTCTATAAACATCATTTACTCAGAGGCAAGATTGCACATCAAAGTTTTGCATTAAATGCTGCTTACCCTTATTCCATTCATTTCTCCCTATAATTTCAATGAACGGTCTAATTTTCATGCATTTCTATACAATTTAGAGTGTTCACTACATGCCTGTTTACTTTATTCCTTGCCGATTCCGCTCATTTCTCTCTTAAATTTGAATGAAGTGTCTGATTTTCTTGCATTTCTATATAATTTAAATTATACGCTACATGCCTGTTTACTTTACTAATTGCTGACATTAATCTTTTTTTACTTTATTTTGCATTTTTAAACATGCTCATTCAAAGAGAAACACTTGTTTTCAAACTGACACCCAGTCACTCCAGAATTACTGCAAGATATGTTGTAAAATATACAATACTGAATAATACAATATACACTATGAAATAATACAATATATACTATGAAATGATACAATATATGATTACAATACACAATAGGCACATGTGTTTTCATTCTACTTACAGTTGCACGATATGATAATCTGTCAATATGAACACCATAAACAACCAGAAATAGTGTTCACATTTCAAGCTATACACAGTTAAAGTGTTCACATTTCAAAGCACACACATAAGAGGGTTTAAAATGTTCGCATTTCAGTCTGTTCACACTTTAAAATGTTCACATTTCAGTCTGTTCACGCTTTAAAAATGTTCACATTTTAGTCTGTAAAATGTTTAGATTTCAGTCTGTTCACACTTTAAAATGTTCACATTTCAGTCTGTTGACACTTTAAAATGTTCACATTTCAGTCTGTTCACGCTTTAAAATGTTCACATTTTAGTCTGTAAAATGTTTAGATTTCAGTCTGTTCACACTTTAAAATGTTCACATTTCAGTCTGTTGACACTTTAAAATGTTCACATTTTAGTCTGTTCACACTTTAAAATGGTCACATTTCAGTATGTTCACACTTTAAAATGTTCACATTTCAGTCTTTTCACACTTTAAAATGTTCAGATTTTAGTCTGTAAAATGTTTAGATTTCAGTCTGTTCACACTTTAAAATGTTCACATTTCAGTCTGTTGACACTTTAAAATGTTCACATTTTAGTCTGTTCACACTTTCAAATGTTCACATTTCAGTCTGTTCACACTTTTAAATGTTCACATTTCAGTCTGTGTACGTCCTAAAGTGTTCACATTTCAAAAAAATGTGAAACAATTTTCAACGAGTGTTCAGATTAAATGTCTATGCTACAGTTGCATTGATATGTTAAATAAAATGTTGTTGTTGATGTTACAACGTGATGTACCAAATAACAGCAATCATTAAATTCTGATATTTTTGCAGTTCATGTCTATTGAGAAACAGTCTGACAATAAGTTGAGGTGTCGAAAGCTACCATATTACAGACAGCGAAACACAGCAGCAATTAATAATTGATATACCATTGGAAGGCTATCATTTTACACAGTCAGAAATAGTAATTAATGATAACATTGAGATATACCATTGGAAAGCTACCATTTTACAGACATTCAGACACTGTTTACATTGAATAAACCGTGTGGTAATAATACTCCTCATATCTGTCAACAAATGGTGGATAATAATTTTTGGAGCTATTTCTATACAAAGCCGATTTGAAGTCTTATTTTGTGTAGTAAATCTTTAAATCTGTTTTGAGTATGTTTCTAGCACTGCAGATTCCTTTTCTAACCACTGTTGAACTGGAAATGTACTCAAAACAAATTCAAAGGTAATGAAAATCTACACTGTAACTGGATTAACATGTCACCCTGTTATTGCACCTGTCAAAATGTTTGCATTCATGCAACAATGTTTGGATTCATGTAACAATGTTTGCATAAATTCTTGCTTGCATTCCAAAATATTCAACAACAAAAATTATTCTCAAGGAAAACGATTTATTTTTTTTGAAATCCTCTGAAATGTATCCTCTTAAATATCCTCAGTTGATGGTACATTTCAGAAGATCTCCCGTGAAAATAATGTACACGATTGTTAATTGTGGAAACCTTTTGTATAATGTTACATGACTGTGCAGTCTCTATAATATTAAGTTATTGGTGGAATAGGGTGTACATGTACAAATATTAAATGTCGTCTGCTGATACATTTTCACTCCATTTCTCTCTAAAATTTGAATAAAGTGTTTAATTTTCTGACATTTTATTACAATTTAGAGTGTTGACTACGTGTCTGTTTATTTCATTCCTCGTCATTTTCTCTCTTTTCCACTCTATTTTGCATTTTGAAATGCAACCCTCGTGACAGTTTTGGTTATTTTTTACTACAGGTAGACTATTATATCTGGATTTTGTCCACTTTCATTCATATTTACATCTTCCTTTTCACTAGCCGAGTTGGATTTTGAATTTTCGAGTGATTCCTTTTCACTAGAATTCCTACTTTTAGGCTCACTTGGAGCTACTTCCTCTTTGACGGGAGGTGTGTTTATATCTACATTTTGGTCAGGTATTTTATCGTCATTTTTCGATATGTTTTCATCACTTCCTGTTTTAGTGATGTTGATTTCCTTCGCTATGGCTCCAAAAAGACTTTGGGCTTGGCGTTGTTTCGGAGATCCGCCATACATGGAAATGGATCTAGGGGACACATCTGAAAAAATATGACAATCATCTCTTTATTAGATGTACAGTGTTAACTTCAAAATACATTTCAAAATACATTTTGAAGTTAGAAGTAATCAGCTATTTGAGGATAACATCTTTCAAATTTGTATTCGGATTATGTTACAATTTCATTTTCGAACTGCCTTCATTGTTTTTAATTTTTCTTTTATGTACAAGTTTATTCAAAACAAATTTTTAGAAAACATTAGCCTTTATATTTGACCAACTTTATGAACATTTAGATTTGGAATCAGGTTCAAAAAATAAAGTGCGTAGTAAGATATATGATGACATATTCGAATTAGAATATAATAGAATGAAGCATGGACAACATAGAACACAATTTTGACAATATGGCACCATCTAAAATAAAATGATGAGTTCAAAGTTGAAGAAAATACTGAGAGGGAAAAACTAAATACATTTCTTTTAAATAAACATAATTTTGCTGCAAGTATGGCAAAAGAATACAACAACAACATGTACAAAGTAATTAATACTACGGATTTATAGTATAATAATACTAGGATATAGTTCATAAGAATACCATGTACCACAACACCAATTTAAATAAATAATCCATTCAATTCTGAAATTCAATATTTTCACAATGTGGATGGAAAATTTTGAAAGAAATCCTTTGCAAATATTTTCTGTCATGCTTATATGGTCATGCAAAATCCTAAATAATTTGAGTGAAATGTCTAATTTTCTTGTATTTCTATATAATTCAGAGTATTCACTACATGCCTGTTTGCTTCAGTTCTCCATTATTCCCCTCTTTTCCTCTTTATTTTACATTCTCAAACCTTATTCATATTTTCTTTAAAAGGATTCCCAATGATATTCTTATCAATTTTGTGACCATCCAATTTCATATTAGAAATTAAAGAATGTACACATATCAAATACATGCTATATGATTTTCTGGCATTGACACTCAATTTAGTGACGTCTCTATTCAGTTATCAACCAAGTATAACAGCAAGTGGAATTTCAACCAATTTGAGATTTTGATGAGACAATGCACAGACCCATTTATGCCCACTTAAAAAGGAAGAAATCATGCTATATTGGCACTTTTGACCAACTTCAGAATTCTGCACCTTCTTGCCGAAAAATTTGGGGAGAACACAATCTTTTCTCACTCATTTAATTCTTTTGCACTCTTGTGTTTCCAGTTTATTTGTATTTATTATTTCCAAGACATGTTTATTACTTACCTGGTCCTAGCATGAGCTTTCTGAATAAGAATTTAAAAATGGGTTTATTGAGGATTAAATCTAGCCTAATGAAGTTTCTTAATACTTAGAGATTGTTTGGAGATTTCTGATTTTCTAAGTACATTTTTTACAAGATAACATAATTCATTAGTCAGCAATTTCGGAAAAATATTTTGAAAAAAATTTAACAAAACATCTTAATATCCACATAATTTTGGAAAAAAAGTTTCATTGATATTGGCAATTATAATCATCCAAAATACATTTCTATTAATAATGATTAATATTTTTCTTGACATTGATATTTCTAGGGCAAAACTGTATGAGTATTCTATCTTCTTTATACCTTTATCTGTGGGTTTTGTGGTTCTTGGTAGCGATGCTGCTTTTGATTTGATGACATCATCATCTGTCACTCCCTCATCGCTTAGCAACTCCAACTCGTTTTTAATATCCTGACTTTTGTCGCCCTCCTTATCAGTTATCAAATCTTCTTCGGATTTTGATAAAATTCCACTGTCCAAGTCGGGTTGGATTTCTGGTTTATTGTCATTTATTTCTACTTGTTTTTCCTCTGATTTTGCCTTTACGGAGGGTGGGCGAGTTGAGGGTAATTCAGGTGCTGGAGTATCTTCTTCTGGTTTTGGGATTTCTTTGTCTTTATCTGCATTCTCTGTAATATTCATGCATAAATATATAAATTACAGATATAGTTATGTTTTTCAGGATTTTGATCTACCCTTTGATGAGAAATTTATGTGAATGAAAAACAAACATTTTGATTTGACCTTAACCAACCAGATTCAGTTGATTCAAATTCAACTGCCCAATTAGATTTTAAAGAACAATAGCTAATTTGTCAAAGTAATTAAATATCTAAGCACAAATGCCAAAAGGACCAAAGATTGTAATTAAAGAAACCTTTATTCCAGAACCATGATCTAACGTGAAAAGAAATAATGTCTAACATCCCCCTTCCACCTTCCCCTCCAATCAAGAACCAATATCATTACACGCTCCAAATAATGAGCTATTTTCATAGGTTTGCCTTCTACCATTATGAGTAAATATATGAAATGTGCTTTATCTAACATTTTCATTACTTGAATAAATGAGTGATGTTTGGCATTTCTAGGCAATTTATAGATTTAGGGAGTTTCAAAGTTAGCCTGTATAATCCCAAGCTGGTTGTACTTTTTCCAACCAATTTCACATTTTTTTACATGAAAACCTTTAATATGGGTTGTTAGATTGACCAACCTTGGGATTCTGCTGCGGACATCCTTGCTAATTTACTAGTCCTTTCTGCTGGTACTGGACTAGTCCTGCCAGGTGATGAGCTCACACCAGGTTTAAGATTTCGTGGTTTTGGGGCTAAAGTTGGTGGTTTTGGTTTCGGTGCGGTGATTGGTGGGGGCACCCTGGATGTACGTTGTGCTGGAACTGGTTTTCCAGGATTTGGGCGAAGTTCAGGAAGTTTCATCGCTCCAGGGGGTGGGTTTGGTTTTGGGATGGATGGTTTTTCTGAGCTGGTTTTGCTGGTTTCAGGTGAGGAAGCTGCAGGAGTAGGTTGGAGTGAAAGTGAGGCTGACTTATCCGAAAGTGAGGCTGACTTATCTGAAAGAGAGGTTGACACATCTGAAACAGAGGCTGATTTATCTGGAAAACAGGCTGATGATGGTGAAAGTGAGGTTGATTTATCTATCTGTGAAGGAGAAGTGTTAAGTGAATCTGAAATAGAGGTTGGTGAATCTGAAAGAGAGGCTGGTGCATTTGAAAAAGAGGCTGTTACATTTGAGGCTGGAGAATTTGGAATAGAGGCTGCAATTTCTGCTGAATCATGCTTTTCAGCTTTAATTGATGAATCAGGAGAAAGGGAAATATTATCAACATTTATAGCATGCAAGTTTTCATTTAAATCACTGGAATCAACATCATCTCTGTCAATCTTATCACCTAAGGTTTGATGAGGACTTGTAGGTGTCACCATTGGAGATGCATACCATTTAGTGCTTGATTCTGGTTGTTTTTTGGGGAATGGTGGGGAGTGAGGAGTTTTGGTTGGGGATTTTAAAATACTTCGCAAACTATCAACTGGTTTCTCTGGAGCCTCAATAGGGGGCGACACTTCCTCTGTGGATTTCCGTGTTTTCAAAATTGATCTGAAATCTTGCTGCGTGGAAGGTTGGTCATTTTCTTTAACTTCAGTGAGACTTGGGCTTTTTCTTAACAGTTGTTTAGGTTGGAAGTTTTCCTGGTTGTTAGTAGGCAAAAATGTGGTTTGAGGGCGGATCATAGGAGTTGGTTTCCTAACCCTTGCTGGAGGATTTGGTTTCAGAGCCTCTGGGGACATTAGTGGGGAGTTAACTGGAACAGCCACATGCAATGTTAGTCATGTTAGTGATACATGTATATGTTAGTCATGTTAATAAACAAGCAAAATAGTCACATTCATATGACTATTATAAAACAATAATATAACATAGAAGGGTGTGATATATGACATAAACAATGGAATAGATGAAATGAACAATGAAATAGATAAAGGCATTTGATTATGTGTTATTGTTTGAAAATAAATAAATCTATGAACATTTTTGAAGGAATAAGTACAGAGAAATGTTATTCATTGTTTATAGGGCTTTGTGTCAATTTGGTTTTTGTATTTCTCCAAGAATAGCAACTTATCAATTTTATGTAGAATAACAAAAAGGACGCATAAAAGTTCAATAAAAACTGACATGTTCGAAGTGAAAGTGGCCCCCTGGCAATAAGTCCTCTCAAAAGGATTTGAGCACCTTGATTGTTTTTGAACCCCTCTAGAATATTGAAAAAATGAATCACTTAGCAAAGCAATCTACAGCCTCACATGAACCTGGATATGAAGCTTGTTAAGTTTGTATGTCATTATTAGACTTACCAGTGGTATCTGAGCTGGATTTCGTAGCACTCTCTGGTCTTTGTATAGCTTGGGGTGACTTGCGTAGTTTGGCTAAGCCAATCACAGGTTGTTGAGGGGAGGATTCTTTCGTATCTTTTTCTTTATCTTTTTCCAGATTTTCAACCTGACAGTTAACACACAACAAGGGCATATACTGAGGGCATATCACAAGGGCATATAACTAACATGTAATATATAATTAATTAATAACAAACATATAAAGCTTTGAAGAAATGCTGATCTCTTCATCTCCCTTCAAGCTAAATTCCTTAACTATGCAGCTATGCTATACAGTATAATGTTCTCCCAAGGATTTTTTCTCAAGTGGGTGCCAAAATTCTCATTTTCACATTTTGCAAAAATTCTCATTTTCACATTTCAGTCCAAAAATTTTCAAGTGGATGCAAATGGAATCTCATGTGGGTGCATGCCTGTTTTTAAAATCTCAGGTGGGTGCAAGCCTGTTTTTAAATCTCAGGTTGGTGCTGCACCCACTTGCTTTAATGCTGGGGAGAGCACTGCAGTATGCTCAATCTTAAATATTTTCAAATCAGAGGTTTCATCAGCATTATAAGCAAATTTTTCTATTCTAAATCAAATCTGACCATTTTGCCAGTTATTTCGATAATCATGCCAGTTACTTCGATCATTCCATCATTTTTGCCAGTAAGTTTTGTATCATTAAAAAGGCTCATGATTTATTGAAAAGGTCTAAGGCTGGAAAGGGATTATTTAAGCATTGGATTTCCCTTGATAGCCCATAACTTAAGGCAGTTCCTCACACTCACAAAATGTTAAAAATGGAATAGACTATCATTTAAATCTCATTAATTCAAATATTTTGATTTTGAAATATTCTTTCTACTCTAATGTGTGCTGAATAGACACAAAAATATGGAAATTTTTCATTGTGAAGAACTACCTTTACATTCATTACTTATATAAAACATTCAAAAGTCTCTATTAGATTCGCAGCTAAGGTGTATATGCTGTAGGCTAGAAAATAACAACAATAGTTCAGCAACACTAAATAAACATTTAAAACAATAAAGCTGGAACAAACACAAGTTACATAGACAGAAATTATTTTGTCTGTTTCTTCTTTTCGCCATCTTCAATCTAAAATGAAATGATGGTGATGTCAAATAAAACAGGGCGTTAACTTGCAAAATGTCATCACCTGCCATTTTTTACAGAGTACAGACACCAACTGCAGAGAGCTAAATGCGGAATGCTGACCACCGAACACCATCCACTAAAAAGTTTGTGATTATAACAATATGTCAAATCAAAACATCCTGTGGTGACATAATTAATTGAGATTAAAATATGTTAAACACAATGACACAATTTGTATTAAGCTCTTAATGAAATACGGCTGATTGGAGTAAAATTGAGAAAAGACACCCTGTAGTGATTTTGTTTTAAATTTGGTTCATGATGAATTCTAGGAAATCATAACAATTTCAGGAATTGTCACCCTCAGGTTCAAAAGGTCCAAAACAGACGTAATTCTCATAAATTAAAAGATATTTGAATTCGTAATGATGTGTAACTTAAAGAAACCTTCTCATCTCAAAGTATCAAACCTTAAAAAGAAACATTCACAGAAAAAACAGTATGACCAGCTCCAAAATTGAAAAAACTTCTTGTAATCTATTCAAATTTTTAAAGGCAATAAGTAGTTTTCGAGATGAACTGAGAGCCAGCTACAAAATTTATTGACTGACTCATGCAAAAGGAATTTAGATTTTTTGTAAAAAATTCTTGAATTATTAATAATGGTATATACCTTTTTAAAGTTGATGGTTGCTCGTTTCTTTTGCATTTCAGCAAACATACCACCCCCCATTCCCATCCCTGGGAGGCCAATCTTTGGCACAACTGATCGCCTTGGGGGTGGTTGGGGATCTTCAGGAACCTCGTCTTTTTCTAAAAATGAAAATCAAGAATGCCCAATGATTTACTACATGGTCATAATTTAAAGTGAATGATTGAACAGTGATCATTATCATATGATATATTATTCAAAGATTTAATTAATTATTAGAATTTCAAAAGGACTGAAATTTTTTGATCTTACAATCTCACTCATCAGACATTTCATTTATTTTTAAAAAATTCAAAAAACAAAAATCCATCAATCCTTGAACTTAAATTATAATCTGTGTCTAAACAACTACATCGTAAAATTTAATGGAAGTCATTAATACCTTCTTCTACATGTTCTTCTGCATCTTTTTTCTCCTCTGCTTCAGGAGAGCTCTTCTCAGCTTCCTCATCAATTTTTGATGGACTTGGAGGAATCAAGGCAATCTTTGGTTCTGGCATAGCATCAGTTTTTACTGGTGTAATCGAAGTTTTTACTGGTGTAGTAGGAGTCTCTTTTGGTTTATTTTGCTGACTTGGTGGCTCAGGGGTCTCTTTTTTCGTTGGGATTTCTTTTTTACTGACATCCGGACTTTTTGGGCTTGGGGATTTCCGTGAAAAGAAACTTTTCATGTCCTTGGCTAAAGCAGCTCTGAAAGGGCATAAATTTCAAATATTTTACATATTATGAATTTTGGGTCGGGTCAGAACACTCAGGAATATCATAAGTTATTGTAAAATTCTTTCTATTTCCCCAAAATTTCAAACCTTTGGCTTGCCTATTTCTTGAATACAAATAAATTACGAATGGGAAATAGTTTACTGTTCTTCCTGACTGATTTAATGCTTAATTAAAGTATAATATGCAATAACGCAGGCGTAAACAGCAAGTCGAATTCATTTTTCCGTTTTCTTCTAACCCGACCCCAAATTACCTGACCCGCACACTTTTTTCTGCCCGGCCCGATCCGAAGGATATCTGACCCGTGACACCCCTACAAATTACTATTAAAACCCAGGGTTTTAATTAATCATTTAACTTTTAATTCAGAACTTTCTCATACTTTCCATTTGCATAAATAGACAAGGTTGGATCTAAAATTTCATAGAATTATAATCTAGGCCTATCACCCCTTTGCACTTACCCTAGGCCTGCCACCCCTTTCTTTTTGGGCTCATCCTTCGAAGGACTATAAAGTAAATTGCATATATTTGTTAGAATATTTCAAATATCAAGGTTCAATTTCAGTTTATCCCATGGCTGCAAGGATATAAGATATCATATTTTAGCAAAAAAAGTTCAAACCATCGAATATCACTTTTAAACTATCAAAAAGTGATATTTGATGGTTTTAAAAGTGATAATCTATGGTTTTGAATTTTTCCCCAAAAAATTATTACATTGTCTAAATTCTCACTCATGAAGACATCCACTCATGGATATAAATGATATTTTTTCAAAACCATAGGATATTCCTATAATATTTACAAATAAGTTTTGTTTGGTTTTCAACCCCCATCATTTTCGCAAATATAAACATGGATTTTAGCATGAGAAAATTCAAACAATGGTTTAAGTCTTAAGTAAATGATCAGTACACATTATTGAACCTATAAATCCCTATGTTCTCCTTTCAATATTTTGTTTCTATTCCAATAATTTTCTAATCAAACATTTGGAGGCAGATCTGGGTCCTTTTAGGTAGAGATCTTTTTAAACTAAAATGAAAAATTATTTTCAACTGCAATACACTTTCATTTCCCACCTTGCATCTTCCTTTTCTGCACTGCTTTCTTTCGAGTCCAATCGCTCGATTGAATTCTCCCTCGAACTTGATAGCTCCATCTGGTGGAAGTCACTGACACTATCATCTTCCTCGATTGTTCCATCGAGACTTTCAGTGGATTTGTGGGTAATTGCACGCTTAGCAGCATGGGTTTTCGCACGCTTTGGGCGACTCTTTACCAGGTGGTTAAGGTTTTGAACAGGCTGTCCCATTGGTGGGAGAGAAATACGTGGATTTGACAACTTGTCAAGTTCTAAAATAAATAAAATAAAAAAGTGTTTATTTTCTAGGAAACTCAATTTTAACTAATTACCAAAATTAAAGTAAATTATAGTAAATAATTAAGATTATATTTTAAACAAAGCTAGTATTTATGCATAAATTGTTTATATTTTCGCATATGATGCATGTATAAAATCTTCTTTGATTATTTTTATTAGTTCAGAGCATGGTCCAAATGAATTTTATATAAACTATATATCACCTTTAGCTAGATCATTTTCAGACTTTGATGTCATTGCCTTGGGTGGGGATTCAGGTTCATCAACTGAAAAAATGCAAAAATATGTTTGTTAATGTTTAATAGGTCTTTCATTACATTCTTCAGTATACAAAAATAAGCATTTTATGAAAACATATCATCATTTTATGTCAACATTTAAACAGAATCAGAGCTATACAAGCAACAACCAACCTGCCAATGTTTTCTTCATCATTTCAAATGTAATATCTCCCAAAAGATCTGCAACCGTTATCAATTGGTGAAGTAAAATTATTTTGGCATAATTACTATGCCTTCTATTAATCCATTGGTTAAGCAGTTTACAATACTGTCGTTGGTTCAAAAAATCCCATTTTACCTTACTTTGAATATTCTAAAAGGGATGCGACTATTGTGACATTATAAGTAGAATTATAACAAGCCATGTAGTAGTAATATGCAATATGAACTAGTAATGGGTATTAAATTTAGTATTGGGACATCATTATCTGTTTGTTAATCAATTCTCTCAATTAAATCATACTTCTCTAGAAAAAAATGCATATGCAGAAAGTTTGAAACGACCTTGATTGAGACAATCTCTCATTTCATTTCAAATTATATTGATTAATTATGAATTTGTCAGAAAATAAGAAACTTCAAGTAGGCCTGTGTTTTGAAAGCAAATAGCAACTCCACTTCATTGAAATACTAATATTACATGTCCCTATCAAATACATTTGATACATCTCACCTCAATAACATACACATTTATACAAGAAATATTTGAATTAATGAAAAAATTATACAAACAACAAATGTAAAATACTCAGTTTACAAATACAAGCACTGAATATAAATGCATGTCCCAAAAAAGTCCATAAAGCAAAATCAATTTTACAGTAGGTTTATATAAATCGACAGAGGTCAATTTTAACTGTTCAGGCCAGGCTTATTCAAATTATTCATAAAAGGGGTCTCATAAAAAATTAATGTAGTCCAATCTTTGAATCAGCAAATTCTTTGTAAACAAAATTGAAAGAGGTTTTTGAAAATTGACAATAGGTAAGTTAAACCACACATTTTTAAGATAACTTTATGTGAATGCATAGAATTATGGTCCTCTCGGGATAAGTTCTCCCCTCCTTAGGACATACTTGCCTGATTATGTATTAAAAGATATGAGGAAATATGTGCAACTAGGTCTTTATAAAATACAATTGAGGGGGGAGGGGGTGGGGTGGGTAATCCCTGGAGTTCATAAATCATTATATTAAGCATATTCACATACAAGATCTCTTAAAAATGTGCTAATAACCTCAATCACTTTTTTTAAGTTATTTTTAGTTTTCATAAAATACCGGTGCCCCCTGTACCATTTATCTTTAAGTCTTACATGTATGTATTATTAAATATAAGTGACTATGAAATGAAAAAAATTGACTGTGAATAAATATGAAAAATCTCCCTATTAATTGAATAAGTTCATTTTTTTGCCCTGAATGACATCATATTACCAAGATATGGTGTGATACTTATATTTGTTTATTTTAAATTAAGGGTTCAATGTGTTTGAATGTTCACAGTGACATATCTAAATGTAGGCAAAGTATGCACATGCATACTCTCGAAATTTTAAAGAAAAAACGTCTCTCAGATCGGATAATGATGAGAAATAAATATTTCACAAAACTAGAGTTGAGTAGTTCGATGCAACTGTTGTTTTATCTATGTCAATATTAAATAATACTTTCTATTTGACTACTATGTGCATTGGCAAATCAGTTCAAATAACATTTTCATGTTGTCACTGTTTACTCAAATTTTTCACTCTTACTCAAAATTTTTTTGCGTTCTTCCACTCTTACTCAACATTTTTCTCACTCTTTAGTACTCACCATTTATTGGCTCTGTCATCCGAACTGAAAGCAAGAAAAGCAAGAAATCAGCATGATACAAAATGCAAGCAAATATGTTCAAGATTCTGTGTAAGATTTTTATATTAATTATAGGGGTTTAATTGTGTATAAGCTGAATGAGTATATAGACTTATAAAGTATTGAGTAGAACAGTGTTTAGTTAGCGTGTATTTATGCAAAATGCAAAATTTGAAATCATTCTGAGAAACATCACAAGTTGTCAAGTCACATTTATTCAGTGCATTCAAAACATATTGAGGCAAAAAATAAATATAGTCAATAGACAAATTGAATTGAATAGACACACATAGCTACCCATACATATCAAATGTCTGGTATATAGCATATCATACCTAGATCATTCCGAAGATCCTTATTGTCAAAACCTTTTAGAATTTTCTTTTCTTTCATTTGATGTGCATAATGCCATTTAATGTCTATTGAGCTGTCTGTTTTTTTTGCTTCAGAATGTACATACTTAACAAAGGACCAATAGAAAAAAATTTATATGAAAATTTAATAAAAAGTTATGAATCGCTAAATACTTTCCAATAGAAAAAAATTTATATGAAAATTTAATAAAAAGTTATGAATTGCTAAATACTTTCCAATAGAAAAAGATTTATATGAAAATTTAATAAAAAGTTATGAATCGCTAAATACTTTCCAATAGAAAAAGATTTATATGAAAATTTAATAAAAAGTTATGAATCGCTAAATACTTTCCAATAGAAAAAAATTTATATGAAAATTTAATAAAAAGTTATGAATCGCTAAATACTTTCCAATAGAAAAAAATTTACATGAAAATTTAATAAAAAGTTATGAATTGCTAAATAATTTCTCGTATTAAGTTAGCTGTTTTACCAGCACCATTTATATTTGTGAATATACACAAGATTAACAACACAATAAAAGGGAGATTATACATAATAAAATACTATGATTATACAATATAAAATATATGATATTTTGATTTTTTTATAATGCAGGTGCCAGGTTCTTACTTTTTCTATGAATATGAAATATATTCAGATTTTTTTGTCCAAAAGCTGTCTTGACAGTTATAGTAAACATTAACACTTATTAGATAGGACATCATATGATGCAAATGGTACAGATATGTGGCAAAGGACGATTCTCGGTTTGGAGAACAGTCTCCTGATAATAATTTTTTTCATGAAAAATATAGAAATATTACCCAAATTAAATTACGAATATCCAAAAGAAGACATTTAAATCTACAAGATGTAAAAATAACAACTTGGTCTGAAGCAGGGATAACGCTCAATTAGACCGATTCAATAAAATACAAGTCTCGATTTGAGGAAAGAAGTTCATCAGTGTGCTGCGCTAATATTTTTTTGCGAAAAATCTAGAAATATTACCCAAATTAAATTATGACTATTCAAAAGAAGACATTCAAATCTATGTTATGTAAAAAAATCAAATTTGTCCGAAGCAGGGATAATGCTCATTTAGATTGATGAACTTCGTTCTCCAAACCGAGAATCGTCTTTTGGAATAATTCATTGCATTTTTAGTGACACACAATATTATAATCTCACGCAATATATAGCCTAAAGAATATTATACTGCCTAAACTATTATATATATATTGCCTAAAATATATCTGGATCTTTTGTAAAATTTTAAATCAATTTAACACCCTGGTTCTTTGGTACAGCAACATATGACATGGCTTATTGGAAAGGTATGTTCTGAGCTATGAAATAACTTCATCCATGGCTTTCACAATTTACTGTGTTATATCAGTATTGTCCCAAAAAGTAAGACACTGCAGTGATCTCACCAGAATTTTTGTTCAGGTGGATGCAAAATTCTTATTTTCACAATTCAGACTAAAATTGGGCAAAATATGCCAATTTCTCATGATTTTTCTCATTTTCAAGTGGGTGCAAATGGATTTTCAGTTGGGTGTTTTAAATCTCAGGTGGGTGCTGGGCCCACTTGCTTTAAAGCTGGGGAGATCACTGCATTGTATTTGCTATAAGGGCAACTACCTTTTTCAGGTTGCACTTTTTCAACATCTTTGTCCATTTGTTCTTCAACTAAGGGGTCTTCAAGGTTAGTATAAAATGTAGTTTTAGACATGTCTAAAGGCTCCTTAGCAACACTGTTAGAATCAGATTCTGGGGATATGTCAATTGGCACTATTGTTAAAGCTAGTTCTACATCACTACGTGCTAAAATAAACAACAACAAAAAACATAGTAAGACAACAACATAAAACATAGTAAGCATTATGCAACAAAAAATGATTAATTTGAGCAGCAAAAATTGATTAATTTGAAGCAACAGAAATAATAAACAAAATACAATACAGCAGAAATGCAAAGTAGAACACCTCTCAAGTGGAACCGTGTTTTTTAAGTCCCATGGCCATCCCACTCCATTTTAGAAAACCTCTACCAGTATCAGTGGAACACCTCCAAAGTGGCACACTTTTTTGTTTTGTTCCACTGAAACAGGTTCTAATGTACACCCCCTATCTGACCCACATGGGTCCCACATGAATCAACGATTCAACATGAAAATACTGTCCTCTTCCACTTGCATCCACATGCCTTAAACCCATGTCTTATGGGTTTCATGTGGAATTGGATTTGATGTGTACTTTGCATGAACAAAATGATTCAAGAATCAGGGTTCTCACTTGGCTTTTAGACTCTGAAGATTCTCCAGAGTCTAATGTCTTTAGACCATCTTGCTCCAGAGTCTACAAGCTTTTCCGGAGTCTAAAGTGTTCTTTCCAAAGTCTAAATAATTTTTAATTTTTCTCACATTATTTGTGGTAAACTCTTGAGAAAATGCATAAAACCAGATCAGTAGTAGTACATGTAGTATTCAGCAGTAATTTGAAAAGTATATTACTTTTGAAATTTACAGAAAATCAAAAGTTCGGTAAACAAGCTGAAATAGTTCAGTTATGGATATCATATTTATCCCTCTAAAAACATTAATATTCCCCCTTTGCAAAGTTCTCTTTTTTTGGGACAAGGTTGTCTTGACAACAATCACATAGTGAAACCTTGGTCTATGACTGATATTTCTCTCAAGATAAAGGCAATATCCAAACCTTTCAGTGCATAACACTTGTAAATAGTACGAAATATTATATAAAACATTTAAAGCAGCAAGTATGAAGATATACAAGGCATTAACATACAAAATGTCACCACCTGTTATTTGTTACAGAGGCTACCACCATTTGTTACAGACACCAACCAAATGCTGTTACAGATGGTGTTAAACACCATCCGTCAACTGTCGTCCAAAAAAGAGTTGGACACTATAACAATATGTCACCACCTATGTTGGTGACATAATAACAACCAAGACATTAGAAAGTGAACATTAGGTTCAATATCCGACTTTTAAGGTTTAAGAATTTTTTTGACCTTAATATTAATTCTACATCTCCCTTTTTTATTATCATACCAAAATATAAAAACTCAAACTGTGATTTATTTGGTAGATGGATTATTTATTTACACATTTCCTTGCAACTGTGTACATAAGAATATTAATAACAACTGTGTCATTGATGTATCATATCGTATTGTATTGTAGTTATAATATTACATATTTTTTTGTGTATATTCATTTGACTGCTATCATTCCTGATTGAGTAGAGTTAAAATGTTTATTCTTCCAATATTTTCCAACCGAAGGCAAATTGGGAGTTTGTGCACCAGAGAATTTTGACATATTGATTACTATTATTATGATGTAACCATCAGTTGCACTTAATACACAATTCGATACAAAATTTCCCGATGTTTTTTGAAATATATGCGAAATATCTTTTGGTGTGCCTCCAAATAATCCAAAACTTATAGAGAATATATGCTGACTAAGATAAGCTTGTATATAATGGACAGATTTGTCTGTATGAAATCACAGTTGTTCTGTTCTACATCACGCTCCGTCGACTGTCTGAATCTCTTACTACAAAACGTTCAATCAAATGAAGTCAATGAAATGCATGAAATGACAGTTGGTGCTAAATCCAACAAACTAGTCAAGAGTATATTGTGATGGCAATTTTGTCCAAGATTATCTACTATTTTTATAAAGTCTAGAGGCTTGCGTTCAAATAATCCGCTGCTAATAGGAAACCTAGATGACTTAGATGGTCCCGTATACAATGGAACGTTTTTTTGGATGTATCAATGGGTTAACTGTTGCCACATCATGCTCCGTAAAATGACTGCCCGCTGGACGGCACTGTAAAAACAGTATATTGCTGTTGTGGATTGGGGGTGTATGCTGTATACCACATTTTTTGATATACTGTTTATTCCATATGTGGTGTTGCATTATACTGCTGTGTCCTTGAATGATGATTGTCTGAATAAATATAAACGGTTTGATTGTCAAGTAATCTTACATAGAGTGAGATTGTCATGACGATGACATGACAACACATGTACAATGCTCCTAATATGTATACTATGTACATGATGTCATTCAGACAAAGTCACATGTTGCCTTTGTAATTAATAATGCACATTTTGCATATCAATATATTTCAAAAAAAATTTCAAAGTCAAGATATTCATCTAGCGATCTGACCAGTCTTGTTTTGCAATGCATTTTGTATAGTTGTATCTGATGATTGATTCAAGTTCATAAAAAGAAGTATCGAAGTTTTCAAAACATCGAAAAGTTTTGAGAGTACTTTATTTTTGGGAGTTATGCGCACTTCTATATCTAGCATATCAACTCTCCTGCTCATTACTGAATTATCTTGTGTTTCGACTTCCTGTAAGATTTGGGTTTTGGATACTATAGGTACATCCAAAGCCATATAGTTGAGTATCAGGAATATCACAACGAACAGAATAACGATGAATACCTTATTTGGCTTTGCCATCTTCCAGCAAATTTTTCCAGTCATTTCGTTAAAAACAACAGTTCAATTATTTATATCCTTTACTTAAATATTTAAAATGCATTTCTTAATAGTTCTGCATGTTATGCAAAATATATTTTTCTATAGCCTTATATCATCTGTAGTTACTTAATATTATGATGTCATTCGCTTGTCCTATTAATATAGAATACTCCCTTCAACAGCGTTCACTGTATTTCACTTGTTGAATATAATGTTTGTTAATCTCAATAGAACGAACATGCGCAAATAAAAATTGTTAAAAGTGTAATGTCAAATATTACAGGGTGTCCCATATTAGCAACACATTTAACTCATTCAATACTGGGGCAAAAAGCACTATACTACTGACGATGTTTTGAAAATTGCCATATATGGTATCTCTGAAATAATATATATTGTATATACATGGGCATACATATGGTGTTATGTATCATTTCAAAGCATATGATATACTCTTTCAGAATGAATAGGTTTTTAAGTCCCATTTTATAAGTTGTTATGGTTACAAGATTCCAAAAATACATTGGGTTTGTGCTTGGACGTGATATCATGTCCTTCGTAGCGAATGGGTTAAGGTCATATATACAGATCTCTTAGACCTAAGTGTTATGCACCCTTGGAAAGATCATGAAGGCCCAGCCCATTGCCAGGTATGGTCAGTATATACTGACAGGTATACTTTCAGTCTATACTGACAGGTCAACTTTTAGTCTAGTTTCAGTATACTTTCAGTATATGTCCCATGTTAAAATTCCATTGACAGGTATGTTTCAATTATGGTAATTAGACTTACCAGTATGGTTTCAGTATACTTTCAGTATAAACCTATGGGTATACATTCAGTATACTTTCAGTATATACATACCAGTATGGTTTCAGTATAATTTCAGTATATACCAATGGGTATACATTCAGTATATATGTATAGGTATATTTTCAGTATGGTATCAGTATATACCTATAGGTCGACAGTTAGTCTATACTGACAGTCTTAACATGTCAGTCTGTAGACTGATATGGATGAATATGACTCTACCAATGAGATACCTTAAATTTTAAATCATTCTGCAGATGAGAAAAATTAGTACATGTAATTTGGATAGCAGTCTTATTTTCTAGCATTATATTATCTAATTAATTAGATGCAGGATTATGAAGACTTCTAAAAGACATACCACAAATAAGTTAATATTCTTATATTAACTATATTCAAGTTTTATTCATGATGTATTTTTGATGCAAGGTTTTAATTTTCAAATTTTAACTGTATTTCTTTTTTAAATTTTACTATGACTGTATCTTTCATATCTTTCTCTCATTTTTTGTGTTTTCAATGTATAAAACATTCAATGTAATTATGAGCAGGACTGCTCCCCTGCCACCTAGTCTGGTAGGACAGGTTGTGGAAACAAATGGTCATAAAATAGAACTTACATATGAATAATTGTTGACTTATAGTTTTATCATGAATTTTGCATTTGCCGTTTATATTATAAAATGATAAAGTAAAACTGGTATACCTTCAGTCTAATCATTATTTATCGGAGTTTATTTGGTATGCTTTCAGTATACTATTGAAAATCATAAGTAAAACTGGTATGCTTTCAGTATATTCAGTATTTATCAGAGTTTGTTTGGTATGCTTTCAGTATACTATTGAAAATCATAAGTAAAACTGGTATGCTTTCAGTATATTCAGTATTTATCAGAGTTTGTTTGGTATGCTTTCAGTATACTATTGAAAATCATAAGTAAAACTGGTATGCTTTCAGTATATTCAGTATTTATCAGAGTTTGTTTGGTATGCTTTCAGTATACTATTGAAAATCATAAGTAAAACAGGTATACTTTCAGTATATTCAGTATCTTCATACCTATTTATAGATCTATATTCAGTATATATACCTATTAATTGGTATGGTATCAGTCTGGTATCAGTATAGACCTATCAACAAGGTATACTTTTAGTATACTTTTGGTATAGACTGACTATACCTGGCAATAGGCTGGGGGAGCATTGAAGTGGACCTAAAAAGGTTGAGCAATCTCTAGAAAGGAATGGCTTTCCCTTTGGTATTTTGAAAAGCAAGAAATTAAAGTGAAATAAAACATTCAAAGCAAGCTCAATTAAATTGAAACGAGGAGAGATGTTATCACTTTTTTGGGAAATATAGTCAGTAACAAAATAGGTCTTTAAAGCAAGCAGGATATAGCAAATCCATATCACAAATAAGGAAAGATTTTCAGCGAAATGGACTTTACTATACTTAACCAATATCTACACGGGAAAAAATTAGGCCATGGAATGTGTGCAAGGTGTCTAATTTTCCTTAATCTACTGACAGAGCTAAACATATTGTATTTAAATGGCAAGGAATAAAAATGCTCTTGTTAATGAGAAAAAGTATATAATGTTGATATGTTATTTGCAATTATACATATCATATCTGCACTTTAAATATACAATCTTTAGTACAATCTGTACTTTAAATGCATTGAATGTTTCCGAACATATCTGATATGTGGACCTCCTTTCAAATGAGGCATATTCTTTTATTGACTCTTATATATGTCAGTCTCTCCGACACATGGGTCACTACAGGGTGTCCCAAAAGTATGGGGCCCCCCCTAGGTAGACATATACCAGTGTCGTCATAGTATGTGTCATATATCATTTTAAAGCTTATCCAAAGTTACATTGATTCACCAAGTATCATGGTTCAACTCTCAAATGTGAAAAAATTACAGGCATTTAAAAACTTAGTGTTTGGTCAAAATTAAGTTCGATTTTACCCCAAATCACTAGTCAATGTGTCCTTCCGGGCCATCTTAACAGCAGCAATTCTTTTCGGGTCGGATGGATATTGAGTTGGAAAAAAAGAATGATGAGGGTAGAAACTCTAAGGAAACTCTTCTAAAGTGCCTTAACAGGTTTTAAGAGGGTTATAAAATTCCACACCCCTATTTGAAGGGCTTTTAAGGTCATATCTGACAATAATTGCTGCTGTTAACATGGCCAAGGGGGGACTCATTGTCCAGTAATTTGGTTTAAAATTGGACTTTATTTTGACAAAACACTAAGTTTTAAAATGACTGTAACTTTTTCCCATTTGGGAGTTAAACCATGATACTTGGCAAATCAATGTAACTTTGGATGAGCTTTAAAATGATATATGACACATACTATGAGGACAGTGGAATATATCTGCCTAGGGGGGGCCCCATACTTTCGGGACACCCTGTATACAGTTATTTACATGTGTTTTATATACAAATATACAGTCATAAGCAAAATGGAAAAATACAAAATCATTACATCATGATTCTAATGTAGTGTTGATGTATACATTCAGACTGGAAACACCTTTTCAAATAGGCTTGACAAACATGATTGCTACAAAATGTACATTCTATGATGACACCTTGCAGTTTGGTTTGCAAAATAATATATCTTAATATGTCTAAAAATACCCCCAAGTGTCTGTGCAGAAGACACTTTGGACAGACACACTTTTAGATTAGACACACACACATGTTTACAATAACGACACACAGTGTATAAAGGAGACACATAAAGCATAAACTATAAAAATAGAAAACAATTGAAGCATTTGACTTGTTAAAAAATTACTCACTGTTATTATGGGATAGAACTTCGTAATCTGTGATTTCGAAAGCATGCAGTTAATTTTAATATATTTGTAACCCCTGGTTTTATACTTGAATATTAATCTACATAATCTGATATCATACAACTGAATAAACAAAGACAGGAAAAAATAATAAAATAAATTAATTAATAATTAAATTAAATTACATGCTATAAATATGTTACTATGTATTAGCATTACAAAATGTCACCACCCGGATATTTATACAAAAATGTAACTATTTGTTAAAGCCACAAAATGCTAACATTGATATTACATATCAGTCACAATAATGGTAGCTGTAACAAAATGGTGGTGACATAAAAATGCGATGTTACAACATGCATGAGCTACAAACAACAACAAAAATACAGTAGTTATTTTTCATGCACATACAGTAAATGCCTAGAAAGATGCCACAATGGTTGTAGGTATTCTTGTTTTTAGAAGAAACAAGCACAACCCTAGTGAGGTTTTAGTGAATTTTAAAAACTTACCAATGACAGACTGGGGTCTTAGCTTCCTTGACGCAAGACTTTTCCTTTTATTTGACAACTTCGGGGAAACCTGTAAAATAATAGATCAAAATACAGTCATGTTTTGTACAAAAACTGCCAGAACGTCAGGAGCATACCTTTTCATTTTTAGACAATTTCTGTGTAAATGTCTCATCATATATTCATCATAATCATCATCTGTGTAAATGTCTCATCATATATATATATAATACCATATTATTCATTTCCTTTATAACTCAAAAATAGTTAAATTTGCCTTCTTGACACTCCTGTATATACATGTATTGTCACATTTTAAAGATGGATAGCTAGTTAAAAACCTAACAAGAACACAAATGTGTACAATATGTCCCCACCTATTGGGTAATCCTGTCAAATGATTATCCTAAAAATGAGTAGACAAGACTTTACCGACACAATTTGAGGACGGAGAATACAAAATGGCCATCTTAAAATTTACCAAGAATGACAAAAAATTAGTCAGTTCTAGATTTTCATACTAAGAACCACCCCTGAAAATTTGAAATTGATCCCTCACACAGTTAACCAGAAAACATGTAAACAAGACGTAACAGACAAGATTTGAGGACAGAAAATCCAAAATGGCTGCCTTGACATTTATCCAGAATGCCAAAAACTAATCTGTTCTAGATTTTCATACTAAGAATCATCCCTGAAAATTTAAAATTGATGTACCAAACAGTTCACCTGGAAATGTGTAGACAAGACTTTACAGACAAGATTTTAGGACAGAAAATCCAAAATGGCTGCCTTGACATTTACCCAGAATGCCCAAAAACTAATCAGTTCTAGATTTTCATACTAAGAATCATCCCTGAAAATTTGAAATTGATCTACCAAACGGTTCACCTAAAAACGCGTAGACAAGACTTTACGGGCAAGATTTTAAGACGGAAAATCCAAAATGGCTGCCTTGACATTTATCCAGAATGCCGTAAAAATTATCAGATCTAGATTTTCATACTGAGAATCATCCCTGAAAATTTGAAATTGATCTACCAGACGGTTCACCTGAAAATGCGTAGACAAGACTTTACAGACACGATTTTAGGACGGAAAATCCAAAATGGCTGCCTTGACATTTACCCAGAATGCCCAAAAACTAATCAGATCTAGATTCTCATACTAAGAATCATCCCTGAAAATTTGAAATTGATCTACCAAACGGTTCACCTGAAAACGCGTAGACAAGACTTTACAGACAAGATTTTAGGACGGAAAAATCCAAAATGGCCGACAATAAAAAAGTGATTATGAGTTTTTGCTGAAATCTTTTTACAAAATTATCACATATACCTACTGTTAACAATAACATAAGCTTTTACAACAAAGTACACCTGAAATTATTTATAAAGCTACTAAAAAGTTAAAGCATGAAAACTGAAAAACACCATTCAATATGATACAAAGTATTATCGTGCGTTAACTTTTCTTAAAACATTCAAAATGGCTGACATGACTGAGCTAACAGGTCCAAAACCTAATCAGATCTAGAATGAAGTGAGCTGAACAAGATGTTAAAGTTTTAAAAGCAACTGTGAAGCCGTTTTTCTTAAAGTTTGCAGACAAGGATTTTAGCATTTGACTTCAAAATGGCCGACAGGAAGTAGGTATCGAGTTAATTTTTTTTCATCCACATCTGTATGCACTCATAAATTATCCCTGAAAATTTGAAGGTGATATCTGCAGCGGTTTTGGAGAAAACTCCCGGACGTACGGACGGACAGACAGACGGACAGACAGACGGACGGACAGACGGACGGACGGACGCGCCTAGGCCGACAATATGGCCCCACACTATGTGGTGGGGACATAAAAAGTGAAGTGAAAAAAATTCAGCATTTCAATTAATGTGTTCAATTCATAAATAGATGTTCCCAGATACATGGACACGGGAAGATATGCAGAATACTAAAATAGTACTCATGGCATTTTAACGCTAACTGTGTACTAAATGAGCACTTATGACATGAGCACTGATTTATTGCATGTTTTAGTACTAAATGAGTACTCATACGCTGTTTGACAAAATAGCAGTAATTTCATTAATTTTTTAGCTCTAAATGAGTACTCATATCGTGAGTTATAAATTAGTACTAATAAAATTGTTTTTCAGCACTAATTGAGTACTCATATCATGAATTAGTACTAAATTAGCACTCATGACATGTGCTCATGAGGGAACTTTTGCCAGAGTGCTAATTTAGTACTAATTTTGTACTAATTGAGTAATCAGCATATCTCCCTGTGTACATATACAAGTTGTATTTTATCAATATAGGAAATAACAGCATGCATACTTCCAAAGAAAAGCAAGTGAAGTTAAGCATGTCAACACAGATTTCCATTAAACCATGTCATATTTACTACTACAAGAAACTTAGTTTATATATTGAATAGATTCAAAATAGATTGAATTGAATGTAACAGATCTAGCAATTCAAAGTGTGAGGACAATTTACTATTGGAAATTATCCAAGATTCAAAATGAACAATAAAACCAGGACACCCTGTATCTACATTTACAGTCATGACATTATTAGAACTTCCGGTTTTATTGGCAAATATTGAGGTCGGCTGGGTGGCAAGTCTTAAGAAATACACTTTTGTATCTCTAGGGTCTTGTCATTGAAAGGAAAACCAAAACAAACATATAGAAAATACATCCAAAGAAACCCAGAGTATATCAATGCTAAACTTTTCTAAATGTAATCAATAGATTTATTTAATATAGAATAAAAGCGGTACCCATATATTCAGAACAACACGACTTATTTTTTATACAGATACTCTTAAAATACTTGCCACGAATCACATATCTTTGTAAATCAACGTAAAACCGTAACATAAAATGTTACCTTAAAACTGGGAGTTTGCTGCATTCAAAACCCTATGGGCCTTGAAATTTAATAACTGTAATTCAAATAACACTAATAAATGTGATTTCTGATTTATTGATAACAATTCAAATGGATGCTATGGAAAAGTGTGTTTTCACCCCAAATTCAAACTTAAGTACAAGTCATTTTTGAAAAGTTTTTCCCAAGCTTTACAACAGTACCTATTTCTCCATTTTCCTTTGTGTATATTAATCACATTTTTCAGACCTCCATTCTACTAGCCTAATACAATGGTGTCATTTTAAGATCAATTATAAAATGTTAAAACCCATACAATTAAAAAGGTTACAGCAAAATGAAAAAATAAGTTTTTGGCCCATCCATCGTAGTTTACAGTCATTTTTTCCATTGATAGACAGCTAAAGGTTCTGCATAGAGAAAGCATAATAAAGAAATTAAAATATATGGAGTATTACAAGAGTACCATTTTTTTGCAACCATATCACAGTATTTACTTTCTTTCAGAGCAAAAAATGAACTAGAAGTAACCTCCTAAGATTATATTTCTAATTTTCAATTCAAAGAATGAATTAACTTATTTTCGTCTTATTTGGTTGAATAACTCAAAATGGATAATGCTTCACTTTATTGTCTTGTTTGTTTATTGTTTACAATATTTACAAGTAGCAAAACTCATACAAGAAATCAGTTTAATTTCCTTTATCATACTGCCGAAGAAAGGTTTATTTTGAAAGCCGATTGAGCAGTGAATGAGCACGATGGGCGGCTTTATATTGCATTTCGCACCCTTTACAGGTCAATCTAACATCCATGTGTCATTTTTATATGTCTATTCGCATGTTCTTATTTATTTAATTGATACTTTCCACATGAAAATATAAGACTATTGAATATTCTCATTTTTCTAACCATAAATGCCAAGTTCCACAGTAAGCAATTAAGATATCTCAATAGTCCTTTCTATAAATAATCGCTTTTGAATATTTTTGTTTTTTATAAAAAAAGTTCTTAAATGAGTTAAAAAAAAATTAATGCATAATTCTTTATTCACACATAGCTAGGCAAGGTGTGTCGGTGCAATGTGTGTCGTTTGTTTTCTAAAATCCACACTCGATGCATTTGATACTGTACAAGGTCATTTTGATTAAATATGAATGCAATTATTACACTTAAATGGATGGCAACCATTTTGAAAGAAACTTGTAGATATGTGAGCTAATAAGGCCATGTGGGCAAACCGTTCGTCACTGTGTGGTTAATTTTGGGCATTAATTTTTAATTAATTATTTTTGTATTTGGTGTAATGGGGCGTATCTTGCTGTTAAACCATTTGTCTTGCCCACTGTGTATCAATGCCGTGCCCCACTGCCTGCCCCATAGTATTCACGTGGTTGTGACAGCTCTAATGCTATACCTCTAACTGATGATGTCATAAATCAGATCAATAAAACAGCTTCTTTGGAATAGCAAAAGATGGCAGGAGTTTCTATTAATTTTGCCTGACAGGAAAATCCCATTTTAGTAGAGGTTAAAATTTTTTAAAACCATGATTATGAAACAAAAGCAAAATATCAGCACCTGCCATTTGTTAAAGATACCTACAACCAAAACCATAATGTTACATTACACCAAACACTAAATGATGAACACTGTCCACAAAAAGTTGGAGACTATAACAAAATATTGCCACCTGCAATTTTACAGGTGCCAACAACCAAACACCATAATGTTACATTATCCCAAACACCAATAGATGCAACTGTACACAATAAGGTTAGAGACTATAACAATATGTCACCACATCTGGTGGTGACATGAATTAAATCACAAAGCTTTACACTTCTACAATCTTTGACATTGAGTTAGTGAGCAAAACTACAATTAAAACCTTAAACCAAATATATCCCATGCATAAATGTAATTTTACATCCATAACCATAAAAAATTCGGTTTTAAAGAGAGAAGACACAATTAAAATGTTCATGATGAAAATACAAAGAAACACCATTATTTTTACATGCAAATTATTCCCATAGTAACAAGAGTGTACTGCCATGGTAACCAAGTTTATATGCTTCTACTTACATCCCCCAAACTATCTATGCTTCTCCGATAAAGAAACTAAGAGAGAGAAAGGACAGTTTTACACAACCTTAAAATGTTCAACATTTACAAAGCCTTAAAGGCCCCATATGAAGGTTAAACCACCATATGTTCAAACTTTGCATGGGGCCTTTAACATGAAGATCATAAAAGTTTCAATTTTCCAATTTATTTATATGAACGTTACCCTTTTCCATCCTAAAAGAGAGTTTCATCTGCACTCAGTATTCAACTATTTACCCTGACCAATCAGAATGTTTAGTGTCAAGTTGATAATCATATTATTGTAGTCTGAAACTTTGACAATTGAGAGCTTTGAAAATGTTGAATAGATGCCAGCCTCTCATGAAAGGTTTTCACATTTTTGTTATTCAAAATGAAAAGTTATTTGAAAAAATTAAAAAGGCAGGAGTTGACTTGGCGTGCCATCTATCAATGTTGTTAAAATTAATGTCACAGTAAAACTAAGGACATTATTCCAAAGATCAAAATATATGTCCAATATGCCATGATCAAATCATATCTCTGCCATGTTAATTTTGGTACCAGTTTTCGAAATAGATTAAATTGCCTCTGATTTTAAGATCATTACTATGACTTCATCTACGAGCTAAATATCCATCCTTTTAAATTCCCCTCAATTTCTTATCTAAAAATATTTCAAAATTGTCATTTACCTCAGGAGTGGAATCTTTGGTTCTCAAAATTATACTCTCTGGGGCTTTTTCAGATGTTTCTGCTTTTACGACATCTTTCATCGATCTTTTCGATACTCTTCCGCTTTTTATGATATTGAGATGATTTATCTGAAAATAAAGTATAATACTGTATACAATATATAGATTAAGCTCATACGTAAAGGTAAGACAGTGGTTTGGTTTACAAATGGAACTGCTGCATCTAAGATTAAATATGGGGAGAGCAATCTGATTTGACTTGACTTGGGACTTTCCTATCAAGGAGGATTGGCTACCAAAGTGCAACATTGATATTCCATCCCATTATATGGACATGTCGTGATGCAAAACTTGAATTCAAACAGCCGCCATTTTGTTCACTCCAACATTGTGAATTTATGTCGTGAATTTTGGTCTTATTTCCTAAAAAAAATTCCAATACTCACACGAAATGATCGAGATATTGGTTTAAATCTTTCGGACTGTTTATTTTCTAGTTGGTTATAAATTGAGAAAAAAACGACATTTCAACGTTTTCATTGTTAGAAAATATCGAGTGTGGATCCTGGGAGCCAATCCTCCTTGCTTTCCTACAGTCTGTACAATATCTATTCTCTGAATATTGCAGTCATGCCATCTTTTTTACTTTAAATTGACATATATGCCATCTCTCAATTATATTCTTAGGTTAATGTCCATAACAATTCATTTGGGTAGAATTATTAATTGAAAGTCATTAATCAGAAAAAATATCTCAATTTCATTTTCAGATTCTTTTATGAGTGTTTTATTTGCAACCTCTCAAAAATATTTCAAATCAATCAAGAAATGCATATTTCTGATGGGTGTTATTTCCCAAAGTTGATTCTCAATATAAGGACTGCACCATAATTAAGGCGTTACACTGCTAAAATAAATATGAATAATTATAATGTTATAGGTGACATCACAAAAACTAGAACAATTGATTTACTGGTCTATATAGGGGAATAAATGACCACTTATTAAAAAAAATTCTATTAGAATCGTCACAAGGACCTTGAGAAAAATACCTCGATTCTGATTTATGGCAAATATATGACCTCAGATTTTATTCTGGCCATTACGCAACTTGGTCTTTTCACAAATTTTCGGTCATATATTGCGCCATAAATCATAGTATTTCGGTCTTTATTCCTTAAATAAAAAATCATGATTACATGTGTTAAACACAAAGCACATGGATCACGACAATAATTGTCATTATCCCATGATGCTGAAAGTGGATTAGGATAAAAAAGGATCGAAATAATTATGCTTAATCTTTTCAAGCTATCAATTCAGAACATTTACCTGGCCTTGGTAATGAAATGTAATACATATATGATATTTGATACGTTATAGTTTAATTGACCTGCCTAACCTTGATGCAGGTTACCATGGCAACCTTATCTCTAAATTAATTTAAGATATAGCTACAATGTTTTAGCATTGTATGTGCAATTACAAAATCTATATTTTCAAAAATGAGATATGTGAAAAAATCACAAAATTAGAGCATCTTTATCAGAATATATGGATCGCCCCTTGTATATGTAGTAAACACAATGATAATTCAGAGTTGTTTTATATTATATTTTGAATGATTTGTCCAAAAATTTGTGATGGATTTTCTCTGATTCCCCAAATGTTCCGAACCGAACCGTTCCGATTTTTTTTGTTCCGTGACATCTCTACCGATTCTATGTTCTTTCACTTACCAAAGATTTATGGCTGGACGAGAGTGATTCTATGACGCCATCTATAACTCTATCGGACATATGAGCTGCGACAGACAAATTCAGCTCGCTGGAATGAAAAAAAGTATGTTTAAATCATAAGACGATAGCGGGAATTCTGCAAGAAATCAAATGAATTACTCAAAGTCAGCGTGCTAAAAATCTTGAAATAACAGAAAAAATCGTTACTAATAAAATTTTGATGAAAATAGAATAACAGTATCTTAAAATGGAAAGAGATATCAATATATAAAAAAATTACGGGAAAAAATTCATGGATGAAGGATATAAATTTTAAAGGTTATTTTTCATAATACAATAAGCTTCTGTATGTATAGTATACTTGTATATGTACATTTGTTTGTCTAACAAATACCCTATTATTAAAATGTCATAAAAAGCATGCTTTAAAATGAGAGAGAAGAATATACAGAGGACAGAAAATGGAACTTACAGTCCCAAATTTTGAGAAAAATTTGGGGAAACATGTCATAATTTAGTGGGAAACTAAGATAACCAAACAAACACACTGATTGAGGTCAACTTAACATCTAAAATAAAAAATCCTGTCATCACGTATCACAAAAATTAAATATACCTAAGAATAAAAGTTCACACTTGTCGAGTCATTAAATGCAGAGTCAAAAATAAAAATGAATATCAAAATAAAGAATTGAGGAGAGGAACATAGATTAAAGGTCCTGAATAAAGATTAGAAAACTTGAAAATTCATGTGGAAAAAAGAGAAAAAAATATTATCCAGAAGTTATATTTTATATAAGGGCTTAAACACACATGAATATCTCTTCTTTGGTACAAAGCTTTTTAACTCTAGTTTGAATCTCATCACTTGATGAAACCCTTACAAACATTTTAAACAAATATTCAGATAGAATTTGATTTATAGAGATTTTATTCCCAAAAACAACTTCATCCGTAAAGAGGTTTTCCTGCATATAGGACAGTGTTTAGAAAAGGTCTTTATTGAATTTTGATGATATTTTCATTTCAGGGTTTGAGTGAAAATATAAATAGTTATTGCTTTTTTTTTACAATATTCTCTTTTTTACAAGGGCATGTCTGATAGGTGAAGATGAGAGCAAAGTTCATGTATGAACTATGTATTGAGTACATATATTTTAATATAACGAGAGGTTTTTTAAAAGTAAATTAAATCAGCCTTTGCCTGAAATACAGAAAATACACACGGTGAACAATATCGCACCCTTGAACAGAAATGGCCGTCATAACATTTATCCAGAATGTCGAAAAACTAATCAGTTCTAAACTTTCATAGGTAGAAACATCCCTGAGAATTTCAAATGAATCCCTCAAACGGTTTGGTTGGAAACCTGTAAACAAGCCATGACAGACAAGATTTTAGAACGGAAAATCCAAAATGGCCGCCTTAACATTTACCCAGAATGCCGAAAAACTAATCAGTTCTAAACTTTCATAGGTAGAAACATCCCTGAGAATTTCAAATGAATCCCTCAAACGGTTTGGTTGGAAACCTGTAGACAAGCCATGACAGACAAGCTTTTAGAACGGAAAATCCAAAATGGCCGCCTTAACATTTACCCAGAATGCCGAAAAACTAATCAGTTTTAAACATTCATAGGTAGAAACATCCCTGAGACTTTCAAATGAATCCCTCAAACGGTTTTGCTGGAAACCTGTAGACAAGCCTTGACAGACAAGATTTTAGGACAGGAAAATCCAAAATGGCTGCCTTAACAATTACCCAGAATGCCAAAAAACTAATCAGTTCTAAACTTTCATAATATATCGCACCCTTGAACAGAAATGGCCGTCATAACATTTATCCAGAATGTCGAAAAACTAATCAGTTCTAAACTTTCATAGGTAGAAACATCCCTGAGAATTTCAAATGAATCCCTCAAATGGTTTGGCTGGAAACCTGTAGACAAGCCTTGACAGACAAGATTTTAGGACGGAAAATCCAAAATGGCTGCCTTAACATTTACCCAGAATGCCGCACCCTTGAACAGAAATGGCCGTCATAACATTTATCCAGAATGTCGAAAAACTAATCAGTTCTAAACTTTCATAGGTAGAAACATCCCTGAGAATTTCAAATGAATCCCTCAAACGGTTTGGTTGGAAACCTGTAAACAAGCCATGACAGACAAGATTTTAGAACGGAAAATCCAAAATGGCCGCCTTAACATTTACCCAGAATGCCGAAAAACTAATCAGTTCTAAACTTTCATAGGTAGAAACATCCCTGAGAATTTCAAATGAATCCCTCAAACGGTTTGGTTGGAAACCTGTAGACAAGCCATGACAGACAAGATTTTAGAACGGAAAATCCAAAATGGCCGCCTTAACATTTACCCAGAATGCCGAAAAACTAATCAGTTCTAAACTTTCATAGGTAGAAACATCCCTGAGAATTTCAAATGAATCCCTCAAACGGTTTGGCTGGAAACCTGTAGACAAGCCTTGACAGACAAGATTTAAGGACAGAAAATCCAAAATGGCCGCCTTAACATTTACCCAGAATGCCGAAAAACTAATCAGTTTTAAACATTCATAGGTAGAAACATCCCTGAGACTTTCAAATGAATCCCTCAAACGGTTTTGCTGGAAACCTGTAGACAAGCCTTGACAGACAAGATTTAAGGACAGGAAAATCCAAAATGGCCGCCTTAACAATTACCCAGAATGCCAAAAAACTAATCAGTTCTAAACTTTCATAATATATCGCACCCTTGAACAGAAATGGCCGTCATAACATTTATCCAGAATGTCGAAAAACTAATCAGTTCTAAACTTTCATAGGTAGAAACATCCCTGAGAATTTCAAATGAATCCCTCAAATGGTTTGGCTGGAAACCTGTAGACAAGCCTTGACAGACAAGATTTTAGGACGGAAAATCCAAAATGGCTGCCTTAACATTTACCCAGAATGCCGAAAAACTAATCAGTTCTAAACTTTCATAGGTAGAAACAACCCTGAGAATTTCAAATGAATCCCTCAAACGGTTTGGCTGGAAACCTGTAGATAAGATTATTCGGGACACCCGCCCACCCGCCCAACCGCCCGGCAAACTAAGGGTGCGATAATAAAAATGTAAAACTATGTAGTATCGAAATTCAGCTTCTCTGAATTTATTGCTAAATTCAGCAAGGCATTTCAGCAATACATGTGATTATATATTTTCTGATAAAATTGTCTGCTAGACTTTTGGCATGACAAAAGAACATGAGGCTTACTGGTCCTGAAAATCAACAAGTGATGGGGGGGGCTAAAAATATTTTACAAAACCATTTTCAGAGCTAATTGCCAGGTAAATTAATATCAAGGACCTTTTGTGGCCTGCTTATTTAAAAGGAGGCCTAGTTTTGAATTGGAGATCTTAAAACAGTTTTGCATTGAACTGCAAAAGTGGAACATCTCTGTAAAAGGAATATCTCAATAAGTGAAACATTTTCCCTAGTCCCTGATGACTGATTGGTTTTAATGATAAATGACCATCTGTTAGTGGAATAGCTCTCAAGTGGAATAACTCCCAAGTGGAATAACTCCCAAGTGGAACAACCCCAAGTGGAACAACCTCCAAGAAAAACAACGTCAAAGTGGATCCCCAAATGGAAAAACTCCCAAGTGGAACAACACAAAGTGGAATAACTTCAAAGTTGAACAACCTCTAAGTAAATGTTATGGGTATTACCCATAGTGTTATCCATAATAATGGTAATTCATTAGGTCATTTATGGTTTATATTTACATAACCCATAGTGTTACCCATAGTGTTACCCATAACCAATAGTTATGGTTAAAACGTGCATGTTATAACAATGATGTACTCATAATTTAACATAAATAGATGTTATGGGCTAAGCATGTGTAGGTCATTGGCAAATTATGTGTCCCCATAACATACACATAAATTCCAAATAACCTACACATAATTTGCACATTACCAATACATAATGGCACAATGTAAAACCATAATTTACTCATTATTACCCATTATAAGTCATTACCAAAAAACTTAGGTTGGATACGGCATCAATTACCCTTAAGTTATGGGTACTTGGGGGCTATGGGTAACAATATGGGTAGTTATGTGAAACATTTGGGTTACCCATAACATTTTTCCTAAGGGAGTGGAACAACCCCCAAAGTGGGACAAATTCCAAGTTGAACAACCCTCAAGTTGAGCAATCTCCAAGTGGAACACTTTACAGGTACTAAATGAGCTCTTATGTGCTCATTACTGTTTACTGTTCACATATTTTAGCCTCAACCGCCTTGTCTGCCATTGAGGAGTGAATGCAGGTTGTGCTCTATAAATGTAAGGAAGGTAGAAAAATACCTGATTTTGTTCATAACATCCGTCCCGACTTGCTCCACAATAAGGCCTCTGGAGAAATTGGCGGGAAGAGTACTTTTCTCGTCGCATGTTGTTTCGATTTCAGATTTCAGATTCTGCAAATAAATCAAACAAAATTGTTGACGATGATTTGATGATTTTAAAGATTATGTGCGTGCCAACTTCTTTTGAAATGTTATTGTAAAAATTGTACAATGATACAATGACAGTGATACAATAACATTTTGATATCAAGTTTGAAAACTTTTCAATTCTCTTTTTATCTACAATTGATACACAATGTTACTAGCTACTATATATATCATAATGTTGAAAGCAAATATTCCTATAAGATGTACATACTATTTCAAAACATATGCATAACATCTTATGATCATAATGCCTGAAAATAACATGATTGGTACATGGCTTCAATTGCCATTTGCCTCTTTATTTGTTTGGGGGAGATTACCATTTGCCTCTTTATTTGTTTGGGGGAGATTACCTTAGTTCCCACAGACGGTTTGAATGATGACCCCAAACATGGAACCAATGACTGGACAACAGTGAACAAGAAACATAGAAATAACGCTCGCCAATCTCCCAATAATCAAACAGATGCGACAACTCACGAACAATCTAAACCTCAACAAGGACACTCCTTAAGATGCATCAAATGTGGGGAGGCCAGCCACCTCACTAGCTCATGTTGGCACCCTGCCACCGTACGTTGCCGTGGGTGCAATCAGCTTGGACACAAAGTCTCAAGATGTCCTGCAAACAGGATGGTGGACCAAGGGCACCAAGATTTCAACCGGTTCTAGATTCTTGGTGAAGTTATCGCCCCATCCCCACAATGCAAAGATAATGTCCCTAGATCACACACAAAGCCTCGTAAATTGCATAAACGTTCACGAAGGGGTGCACACAAACGCAAGAACAATGCCAATTTTCCTTTTAAGTATCGCATTCAACAATGTAGAATACTTAGGATTAGCAAAACAACACGAACTTGATAATCTTCTGTCAATGAAACAGTTTGACATTGTAGGAGTGTGTGAAACATTTTTCAAAGACTCGAATACCCCTACTGTCAGTAATAAGGAATATGAATGGTTTGGTAAGAACAGAGTCAATAGATCTGGTGGTGGTGTTGGTTTTTTCATAAAAAGAGATAAAGTTACTATTTTAAAAGAAAACCACTTAGATTCACTTAATGATGAATTTGAAAGATATTGGTTAAAGGTAAAGATAGTCAATGTAATTCTTAATGTTGGAGTTGCATACTTTCCAAATGATGGGAAGAATCCTGCTCTTACAGAAGCCCTTACTGAGGAACTAATCAAAGACATTTCTCAATTTGATAATAGCAACGAATGTACCCTCCTTATGGGTGACTTTAATGGACGCATAAAAGAATTCAATAGTGGTCAAAGCAGTCACAATGGTAAATTCATAGAAGTCCTCAGTGAGGCAACCAATTGTACTATACTTAATTTAACTGAAGAATGTGAAGGTGAGGTAACATGGGCCCGCAACAACCAGTCATCCACACTTGATTATATTTTGGTCAATGACAGATTTATGAGTATTTATGATAAAATGGTTATTCATGAAAATCACGATGTGTCTATTGGCAGCAGCCACGCTTTTCTTGTTGTTGAAGGCTCTTGTTGCGGGTCAGATTCTAAATCCAAATCTAAAAATAAAATGTCAAATGAAGTAATTAAAACACCAAGCTGGAAAATCTCAGAAAATACAGACTGGACAAAGTTCCAGCAACTTATAACAAAACAATTTAATTCCTGGGATATTTCATTATACTCTAATATTGAGGAAGCATGGGCAGTTTGGAAGGGTAAAGTCAAAGAGGCAGCCTATGAGTCTGTGGGAACTAAGGTAATCTCCCCCAACCATGTATCATTCTGGAATGAAGAAATCAAACAATTAATCAAAAATAGAAGGGAAGCATGTCGTTTCTTTAGGTATTGGAAACGCGCCAAAACATGCGACCCCAATGTGCTGCAAGAAATGTGGGATTTATATATTCAAAGAAAAGAGCAAGTTCGTGATAAGATTAAACAAGTACACATTCAAAACCATATTAAGACTATCACAAAGAATGCCTCAAAGAAATCTAATTCAAAATCTTTTTGGAAAACATTAAAAATGTTTAATGCAAAAGCAGGACACCCAATACAAATAAAAGACCCAGATGACCCAAAATGTATAATAACTGACCCTCGGAAAGTATCTCAGTCAATTGCTAAATACTGGAAAAATGTTGGTCCCAACAATGTAAATGATCGTTCAGTAAAAACAGACTTGTCTCAGCAACTTAGAGAGCTTCATATGTCATCTACATTTTCAGACAATGCTTTATTTGATGTTACATTTGATGAAGGTGAAGTTTCTGAATGTATCAAAGGGTTAAGTAATGGTAAAGCATGTGAAACAGATCAAATTCCAAATGAATTTCTGAAGCAAGGGGGGCCTATTATAATTAAATCAATTTCTGAAATATTTTATCAAGTGAAGATTAGAGAACAAATGCCCAAAGAATGGAAAGAAGGTCTTTTATTTCCCATTCACAAGAATTCAGATAAGGAAATACTTGACAACTATAGAGGCATAACAATAAACTCTAACATTTACAAGCTTTTCACCTCTATTATGGAATCTAAGATCTTGAAGTTTTTCGAAGTAAATAACGTTTTGGGTGACTTGCAAGGCGCCTTTAGATCAGGTTTGAGATTAGAAAATCATATTTTTGCCCTTAAAGGTATCTGTAGCATGAGGAAAAACAACAACCTTAAGACCTATTTATCTTTTTTGGACATCTCTAAAGCCTTCGACGTGGTCAACAGGGACCTTTTATTTTTACGATTATGGGAAAAGGGGATTCAAGGCAAAGTCTGGCGCATTTTGAGGGAGTTATATGTGGGAGTTAAAAGCAAAGTGATTTTTGGAACAATTTCAACAGAGTGGGAAGAGTGCAACCCTGTCTATAGCCTAAAACAGGGTTGCTGCCTCTCCCCGACTCTGTTTTCCCTTGTTATGAGCGACCTTGTTGAAATGTTCAACAATGAAGATATAGGGTTACCTTTTGAAAATGAGAAATTTTACAAGTAAATTTTCTATTAATTACAATACAAACCTATTCCATGACATATGCTAATACCCCTAATTTGGAAAAATGGGCAAGTCCAAAAACAACAGGATAACCTGAATCCCTCTAGGTCAACTGACCTAACACCCCTTTATATGCTATATCTTCATAATTGTACGCAGTAAAACTTAAAAATACTGCGGGGAGGCCGGGTGGGCCTATGGTCATGGAATAGGTTTGTATTGTAATTAATAGAAAATTTACTTGTAAAATTTCTCAATTACATACAATCCAACCTATTCCATGACATATGCTGAATTAAAAGTAAAGGAGGTGGGACCCCGATTAAGCCCAAAAGTATAATAAATATATATACACAAGTACTTATAATAAAAAGTAAAATTCATATTACCAACAAGTACTCTGATCTCACAAACCATAGTGATCCCTAGTAGAACAGCCACCATCATCCATTGTAAGGCAGAGGCTGTGACACATCTGTAACACTGTTATTGTCCTATCATAGTGAGCAGTCTTAGCCATCTAAGGGTAATGACCAACTCCTATGAATAGAGACTGGTTAACCAAGAATGGGCCGTTTAACCAAACGAGGCAACCTTGCAGTTCTTCAAGGGTCCAGGTCACAAGCTAGTTGAGTTGAACCCTTCTGCAAAACAGTTCAGCTACACATCTGGGAGACTGTATGTCCTTTCACAGTGAGTATCCTTACCCATCTAAGGGTTGCGAATAACTCCTATGAATAGAACTGGTTAGCCAAGGATGGGCCGTTTAACCAAACAAGGCAACCTTGTAGTTCTTCAAAGGTCCAGGTCACAAGCTGGTTGAGTTGAACCCTTCTGCAAAACAGTTCCGCTTCCACAAGAACTGGATAGACAAGGAATGGCTGTGTACAAAATAAAGACAACCCAAGTCCACCCAGTGTTACTTCCAATCACCAGACTACAGTGCAATACTGAGTTGGTAACAAGTTGCAGAGTATTTAAAGATGTATAAAGTTCTTGAAGTTGTAGACCCACCTGTAGCTTGGAAGAGATATACTTGAGATAATCCAAGCCATTGTTGTAGTTCTTGTCAGTGTAGACAAAGGCATCATCCTTTCATCCATTGGAATTCTAGGAAGCTGCCGATAAATCAACTACCATACTTCACAGCACAGGGTCCTAAAGGAACCAGTCTTGCATACAAAGTGAGGTGGTACACACAACATCTTGTCTAGTCTCTGCTCTCAGAGTTGGATGTTAGTTGACTAAACATCAAGTCTGGACCAGCGATGATCATAAAGCCGTTTCAGCAAACTTGTAGAATGGTTTAACGACAAGAACAATACCACTACACATCTGCTAAGTGCTTCTTGTCTTTTGGATCCATAACAAAGTACATGGAGCAAGACACCTCCGTAGACCCAGCCAGTCGAGGTTGGTACAGCCACCAGATAACTACAGGGATAAGACAAACCATCTTCTTTGTAGTACCAATTAGTATTCATCATAGAACAGATCAACCATTACTGCTGACCTGGGCAAGAAGAGACATCTTCCATCTGGCCAAAAGAAGTTCTTCAATGGACAAACTAGTGCATCTAGACAGTCTATCCATCTGTATAAAACTGTAACACAGCTTCCCTAGTAGACACAGTGGCACATCAAGCACAAAGTAGAACAGCATACAGGTCCATACTTATCTATAAAGGATTAGTATGGAGATGAATCTAAAGGTGGTTGGAAACAAGCTTGCATTTGTTGGTAACTTGTTAGACATCTTTAATTAAGAAGATGAGGATATCACTGTTATGATTGTCTATAGTGCCAACAGAGCATAACAGAAAGTATTCTACTGCCATCAAAGCACTGCTAAGTGTTGTTCCCACAAAGAGCTTGGCTTGGAATGCAACCTTCAATTGTTGTATTCGGCATTGTAGTTGATAACTATTGGATTGTGGTTAGAACATCCATCTGTCCAGGTTGTAAACAGCAAACATCATAGCTA